GTGGATCACGAGGTCAGGAGATGAAGACCATCCTGGCCAACACGGTGAAAGCCCCGTTTCTACTAAAAATACAAAAATTGGCTGGGTGTGGTGGCGCACGCCTGTAATCCCAGCTACTGGGGAGGCTGAGGCAGGAGAATTGCTTGAAACCGGGAGGCAGAGGCTGCAGTGAGCCAAGATTGTGCCACTGCACTCCACCCTGGGCGACGGAGGAAGTCTCTGTCTAAAAATAAAAAGAAAAAAACATTGACTAGCAGTGGTAAAAGTGAACCTCTGTGTCTTGTTCCTGATCTTAGGGGGAAGCTTTTAGTCTTTTGCCATTAAGTGTGATGATAACTATGGGTTTTTCACAAATACCTTTTATCATGTTGAGACATATCCCCTCGTTTCACAGTTTTCTCTGTGTTTTAATCATGAAATGTTAGAATTTCTTAGATGCTTTTTCTTTTTTTTTTTTTTGAGACGGAGTCTCGCGCTGTCACCCAGGCTGGAGTGCAGTGGCCGGATCTCAGCTCACTGCAAGCTCCGCCTCCCGGGTTCACGCCATTCTCCTGCCTCAGCCTCCCGAGTAGCTGGGACTACAGGCGCCTGCCACCTCACCCGGCTAATTTTTTGTATTTTTTAGTAGAGACGGGGTTTCACCATGTTAACTTTCTCTTCTTTTTCCAGTCTGGTTCAGGCTCTGACTCCGCCTGTCCCCAATGCATCCGCCTCCCCGCAAGTGCCTGGTCTACGCCATTCTCCTGCCTCAGCCTCCCGAGTAGCTGGGACTACAGCGCCCGCCACCTCACCCGGCTTTTTTTTTATTTTTAGTAGAAGGGGTTCACCGTTTCCAGCTGTCCGTCCGACCTTGACCCCCCTCGGCCTCCCAAAGTGCTGGGATACAGGCTTGACACCGCCCGGCCTAATCAATTTTCTTATATTAAACCATCCCCTGCATTCCTGGGGTAAATCCCTCCCATCCCCTCAGCTGCAGCACGTGATTAAAACCTTCTTCCTTGGCAATAATCATTGTCTCAGTGATTGGCTTTCTGTGAGGTGAGCAGCAGGCCCTAGATGGAACCCCTGGTGTTTTAGTAACACTAGGACGGCCAGTAGCCTCCAGACACTGGAGGAGTCGAGGAAGGATCCCCCTTCGAGACTTCAACACTTTGATTCCTGACTTTGAGCCTCCAGAACTGCGGGAGAGTAATTTCTGTTTTGACAGAGTTTCACTTCATCACCCAGGCTGGTGTGCAGTGGCACAATCTGGGCTCACTGCAACCTCTGCCTCCTGGGTTCAAGTGATTCTCGTGCCTCAGCCTCCTGAGTAGCTGGGACTACAGACATGCGCAAACACGCGTGGCTAATTTTTGTATTTTTAGTAGAGATGGGGCTTTACCATGCTGGTAAATCCAGGATGGTCTGGATCTCTTGACCTCATGACCTGCCCGCCTCGGCCTCTCAAAGTGCTGGGATTACAGGTGTCAGCCACTGCCTGTGGCCTTGGGAGATATTTTTTTTTTTTTTTTTTTTTTTGAGACGGAGTCTCCCTCTGTCACCCAGGCTGGAATGCAGTGGCACGATCACAGCTCACTGCAAGCTTCGCCTCCCGGGTTCACACCATTCTTCTGCCTCAGCCTCCTGAGTAGCTGGGACTACAGGTGCCCGCCACCACGCCCGGCTAATTTTTTGTATTTTTAGTAGAGACAGGGTTTCACCTTGTTAGCCAGGGTGGTCTCGATCTCCTGACCTCACGATCCGCCCACCTCGGCCTCCCAAAGTGCTGGGATTACAGGCATGAGCCACCGCGCCCAGCAAGAACTACTTTAAAGACGTATGTATTAATGGATAAAGAAAGATCTACTATGCCAACACTAATCAAAAGAAAGCAGGAGTCTCTATATGAATTTCAGACAGTACAAACTTCAAAGAAAGGAAAGTCATCAGGAATAGGCCAGGCACAGTGGCTCACACCAGTAATCCCAGCACTCTGGGAGGCCAAGGCGGGCAGATCACCTGAGGCCGGGAGTTCGAGACCAGCCTGGCCAACACGACGAAACCCTGTCTTTACTAAAATACAAAAATTAGCGGGGCGTGGTGGCGCTCGCCTGTAATCCCAGCTACTCTGCAGGCTGAGGCACGGGAATCACTTGAGCATGGGAGGCAGAGGTTGCATTGAGCCGAGATCATTGCACTCCAGCCTGGATGACAGAGACCCTGTCTCAAAAAGAAAAGAAAAGGAAAAAGAAAAGTCATCAGGGATAAGTACAGGGCATTACACAATTATTAAGGAGTCAATGCTCAAAGAAGACATAACAATCCTTAACATGTATGATCCTAACAACAGGACATCAAAATATGTGAGGCAGAAAGCGATAGCACTGCAAGGAGAAACTATTATAGCTGGCGACTTCAGTGTCCCTCTATCAGAAATGGACAGATCCAGCAGGCAGAAAATCCGTAACTCAGTAGCACCCTCTATAACTGGATATAATGGAAACCTATAGACTATTTCATACAATGACAGCAGAAAAAAAAAAGAAAAGAAAAACACTTTGGTTTTTCCCGTATCTTAAGCTAGAGAGCAGTGGCACGATCACAGCTCACTGCAGCCTTGAACTCCTGGGCTCAGGAGATACTCCCACCTCAGCACCCTGACTAGTTGGGATTACAGGTGTGCACCTGGCCAATTTTCTTTCTTTTTTTTAAATTTTTTTCATCATGGATGGACCTCAAAATGTCATAATTTTTTTTTAATTTACTTTTCTGTAGAGATGGGAATCTTGCTATGTTGCCCAGGCTAGTCTTGAACTCCTGGCCTCAAGCAATCCTCCTACCTGGGCCTCCCAAAGTTCTAGGATTACAGGTGTGAGCCTGAGTCACCATGCCCAAACACAAATTTTTTTTTATTGTTTGAGACGGAGTTTCGCTCTCGTCGCCCAGGCTAGAGTGTAATGGCACAATCTCAGCTCACCGCAACCTCCGCCTCCCAGGTTCAAGTGATTCTCCTGCCTCAGCTTCCCGAGTAGCTGGGATTACAGGCATGCGCCACCATGCCTGGCTATTTTGTATTTTTAGTAGAGATGGGGTTTCTCCATGTTGGCGAGGCTGGTCTCCAACTCCTGACCTCAGGTGATCCACCCGCCTTGGCTTCCCAAAGTGCTGGGATTACAGGTGTGAGCCACCCAGCCCGGCCCAAATAAAATGTTCTCTCTCTCTCTCTCTCTCTCTCTCTGTGTGTGTGTGTGTGTGTGTGTGTGTGTGTGTGTGTTTCTTTCTTTTTTTTTTTTTTTTTTGAGACGGAGTCTCGGTCTGTCGCCCAGGGGGTGCAGTGGCCGGATCTCACTCACTGAAGCTCCGCCTCCCGGTCACGCCATTCTCCTGCTAGCCTCTCGAGTAGCTGGGACTACAGCCCCGCCGCCTCGCCGCTAGTTTTTTGTATTCTTATAGAACGGGGTTTCACCGTGTTCGCAGGTGTTTCGATCTCCTCCTCTGTCCGCCAGTCTCGCCCCCAAGTGCTGGGATTACAGGCTGGCCACCGCCCGGCCGTGTTTTCTTTTCTTTTTTTTTTTTTTTTTTTTTTTTTTTTTTTTTTTTTTTTTTTTTTTTTTTTTTGAGACACAGTCTTGCTCTGTAGCCCAGGCTGGAGTGCAGAGGCGTGATCTGGGCTCACTGCAATCTCTGTCTCCTGAGTTCAAGCGATTCTCCTGCCTCAGTCTCCAAGTAGCTGGGACCACAGGCGGGTGCCAACATGCCCGGCTAAGTTTTTGTATTTTTAGTAGAGACGGGGTTTCACTGTGTTGGCCAGGAAAGTCTCGATCTCCTGACCTCGTGATTCGCCCGCCTTGGCCTCCCAAAGTGATGGGATTACAGGCGTGACAAATACAATGTTTTTTAAAGTATCTGTAGGCTGGGCATGGTGGCTCATGCCTGTAATCCCAGCACTGTGGGAAGCCAAGACAGGTGGATCACTTGAGGTCAGGAGTTTGAGACCAGCCTGCCCAATGTGGTGAAACCCATCTCTTCCAAAAATACAAAAATCAGCTGGGAGTGGTGGGCATGCGCCTATAGTCCCAGCTACTCGGGAGGGTAAGGCAGGAGAATCGCTTGAACCCGCGAGGCGGTGGTTGCAGTGAGCCAAGATGGCACCACTGCACTCCAGCCTGGGGGACCAAGCGAGACTCCGTCTGAAAAAAAAAAAAAGCTGATTTTTATTTTACTAAAGAAACATAAAAGAAGTAAGCATAGCACCCAAGAGTGATTAGAAGAATGTTAAATTGCTTTCCTTTGTAACTCTCTTTAAAGAGAGCCAACTACACTGTTGGCTGTATCGCATTGCTCAAAACACAGGAACAGCAGATGTTTCGAATTAGGGAAACTCAGACTCCTACTACTATCAAATGCTACCGATTCCAAAAGTGGTAAGTTTAAAAAAAAAAAACAAAACGGGAGCACGTCGGGCACGGTGGCTCATGCCTGTAATCCCAGCACTTTCGGAGGCCGAGGCGGGAGGATCACGATGTCAGGAGTTGGAGACCAGTTTGGCCAATATGGTGAAATCCCGTCTCTACTAAAAATACAAAAAATTAGCCGGGTGTGGTGGTGCGCGCCTGTAATCCCAGCTACGCAGGAGGCTGAGGTAGGAAACTCGCCTTGAAACCGGGAGGCAGAAGTTGCAGTGAGCCGAGATCGCACCACTGCACTTGAAGCCTGAACGCCACAGCGAGACTCCGTCCAGGGTTGGTGGCAGAGAAGAAAAAGTTCAACTTTAAAAAAAAAAAAAAAAAGCGAGAGCAGAGGAGGTAGCGGGCGGGAAGAAACGAAAACATAGGTAGAACATACCACAGCATCACCTCTGTCAAGATTAAAATTGAAAAATCACCGAGACGAAACACCAGGTTTACCAACGCAAAAAAAGGGAACAGAACTTGCCCATAGATGAAATGAGCTCATTAATGAGGTGAAAGAAAACAACAGCTACTAAATTATTATCTGTCGTCAGACCATTAAGAAAGGAAACCGCTCAGACCGCGTCCTCTCCCTTTTGCTCTCCAAAGTGGAGAGAAAAACGACCATCTACCGCAGCCAGCAGTCGCACCGAAGCCACGCCAAAACACCGCTTCGCACTCAGAACAGAACACTACGCCTCTTCCTCCCGGTTTTCGCTGCTCTACATATTGAGAGAAACTTCCGTAATAAGAAACTGTAGAAACGACCCCTGGAACTCCAGTCTTAAGCTTTTACGCCCAGCCTCTGCTGGGTCCACATCCGCCACACACTTTTAACTGACGGCGAGATACTTTCGCTATTTCCGATTCCATTAGGAAATAAATAGGAAAATCGTTTGGCAGTAACATCTTTTCCAATATCATGACTTAACGACATCATATTAACGTTTCAGGTGGAAACGTAATTTTTAAAAACTTTTAAAAGTTAAATTAACGTTTTAGGTGGAAAGGTAATTTTTAAAACTTGTTTTAAAAATGTATTTAAATTAAACTAAATTAATTTAATTTAAGGAATGCTTAATTAGCATAATACTGAATGACAGCCAATCACAACCTGAAGTTTTAAAGTGGGACGTGTTTGTTCCTGGTGTGCTGTGCCCGCCTGTAATCCGGTAATCTCAGCGTTCTGGGCTCCCACGCCCAGGCCCAGGCGGGAGGATCCTTTGTTCTATGAATTGGAGACCAGCTCAGGCAACATAGCAGAATCCGGTCCCTACCAAGGGGAAAACAAAAATAATAATAAAAGTAAAAATCAGGCTGGGCGCGATGGCTCACGCCTGTCATCCCAGCACTTTGGAAGGCCAAGGCGGGCGGATCACCTGAGGTCGGGAGTTCCACCAGCCCAAAGTGGAGAAACATCCTCTCTGCTAAAAATACAAAATTAGCTGGGCGTTGTGGTGCATGTCTGTAATCTCAGCTACTTAGGAGGCTGAGGCAGGAGAATCAATCGCTTGAAGCCAGGAGGCAGAGGTTGCCTGAGCCAAGACTGCGCCATTGCACTCCAGTCTGGGCAATAAGAGCAAAACTCCACCTCAATAAATAAACAAATAAATAAATAAATAAAATGAAATAAATTAAAAATGAGCTGGCTGTGCTGGCACCGCCTGTAGACCCAGCTACTCCGGACGCTGAAGCGGGATGATCGCTTGCGCCAGGGAAGCTGGCTGAGTTCGAAGCTGCAGTGAGCTTTGATTGCTCCACTGCACCCCAGCCTGGAAGACAGAGTGAGATCTTGACTCTTAAAAACAATTTTTTTTAGGGGGGATGGTATAAAATAGACGTAAAACGTACCATCTTAACCATTTCTCACACATACAATTCAGGGGCATTAAGTACATTCATGTAGCCATTGGTATGTAACCATCAGCATTATTTATCTCCAGAACTTTTTCAACATCCCAAACTGAAACTCTACCCATAAAACAAACTTCCCTTTCCTCCCTCTGCCCAGACCCTTGTAAGCACTCTTCTACTTTCCGTCTCTATGAATTTGATTCTTGTAGGTACCTCTGTAAGTGGAAATGTGCAATATTGTCTTTTTGTGTCTGGCTTATTTCACTTATATTTGTTTTCAAGGTTCATTCACGTTGTAACATGTTGCAGAATGTCACTCCTTTTTCAGGCTGGAGTGCAATGATGCATGACGTGATGGCTCACTGCAGCCTTGATCTCCAGGGCTCAGGTGATCCTCCCATGTCAGCCTCCTGAGTAGCTGTGATTATAGGCACATGCCATCACGCTCGGCTAATTTTTGTATTTTTTGTAGGGAGGGGGTTTCAACACATTGCCCAGGATGGTCTTGAACTTCTGGGCTCAAGGGATCCACCCGCCTAGGCCTCTCAAAGTGTGGGACTAGAGGTGTGAGCTACCCACGCCCAGCAGTTTTCTTAATTACATTTTTAATTGCTCCTTGCTAGTGTATAAAAACACAACTGGACCAGGCGCAGTGGCTCACGCCTGTCATCCCAGCACTTTGGGAGGCCGAGGCGGGTGGATCACGAGGTCAGGAGATCAAGACCATCCTGGCCAACATGGTGAAACCCCGTCTCTACTAAAAATACAAAAATTAGCCAGGGTGGCAGTGTGCACCTGTAGTTCCCAGCTACTGGGGAGGCTGAGGCAGGAGAATGGCTTGAACCCAGGAGGCAGAGGCTGCAGTGAGCCAAGATCGCGCCACTGCATTCCAGCCTGGGCGACAGAGCAGACTCCCCTTTCCAAAACAAAACAAAACAAAACAAAACATTGAGTAGCAGTGGTAAAGAATGAACATCTGTGTCTTGTTCCTGGACTTAGAGGAAGAGCTTTTAGTCTTTTCACCATTAAGGTTATTATGGATAACCTGTGGGTTTTTTCACAAAATCTTTAATCATGTTGGGGCAAATCCCTTGTTCATTAGTTTTCCTCTATGTTTAAATCATGAAATTTTTTTTTTTTTTTTTTTTTTTTTTTTAACAGTCTCTCTGTATTGCAGTGCCAGATTCAGTCATGCAGCTGTCCCTTCCGATTTCCTGTCAGCCTGAATGACACCCCATGGTATTTTTGTATTTTTGTGAATTTACTGTTTTTCCCCTTTGGTTCTCCTAAACATAATAGCGGTATCATGAAACTTTAATTTTGATTTTTCTTGTCCTAATATGTTGAACATACCCTAAACTGCATTCCTGGGTAAATCCCCTGCACCTTATCCCCCTCTAGCTGCATAGCACCTGATTAAAGCCTTCGTCCTTGACAATAATCGTTTGTCTCAGTGATTGGCTTTCTGTGAGGTGAGCAGCAGGCCCTAGATGGAACCCCTGGTGTTTTGGTAACACCGGGATGGCCAGTAGCCTCCAGACGCTGGAGAAGTCGAGGAAGGATCCCTTTCGAGGCTTCAACACTTTGATTCCTGACTTTGAGCCTTTCAGAACTGCAAGAGAGTAATTTCTGTTTTGGTAGAGTTTCACTTCATCACCCAGGCTGGAGTGCAGTGGCACAATCTGGGCTCACTGCAACCTCTGCTTCCCTGGGTTCAAGTGATTCTTGTGCCGCAGCCTCCTGAGTAGCTGGATTACAGGCCTGCGCCACCACGCGTGGCTGATTTTGTATTTTTAGTAGGAGACGGGTTTCTCCCATGTTAGGGCAGGCTGGTCTTGGAAACTCCTGACCTCAAGTGATCTGCCTGCCTTGGCCTTCCCAAAGTTCGGGGATTATAGGTGGCAAGCCATCATGCCCGGCCTACATTTCTGTTTCTTTTTTTTTTTTTTTTTGAGATGGAGGTTTCACTCTTGTTGCCCAGGCTGGAACGCAGCTCTTGGTGTCTACCCAAATGAGTTGAAAACGTATGTCCACACAAGCCTGCACACATATGTTTATAGCAGCTTTACCCATAATTGCCAAAACTTGGAACTAAGATGTTGCTAAATAGAGCCGGGGGAGGTGGCTTGTGTCTGTAATCCCTGCTACTTGGGCAGCTGAGGCAGGCAGTCACTTGAGATCAGGGGTTTAATAGCTTCCTGGGCAACAGAGGGAGACCCTGTCCTAAAAAATAAAATAAAAAATAAAATAAATAAAATATAAATAAAATATGTGTTCCCTTTGGGAGTCTGAGGCAGGTGGATCTCCTGAGGTCAGGAGTTCAGGACCAGCCTGGCCAACATGGCAAAACCCCATCTCTACTAAAAATACAAAAATTAGGCCGGGCGCAGTGGCTCACGCCTGTCATCCCAGCACTTTGGGAGGCCGAAGCGAGCGGATCACGAGGTCAGGAGATCGAGACCATCCTGGCTAACACGGTGAAATGCCGTCTCTACTAAAAAAAATTAAAAATACAAAAAATTAGCCGGGCGTGGTGGCAGGCGCCTGTAGTCCCAGCTACTCGGGAGCTGAGGCAGGAGAATGGCGTGAACCTGGAGGTGGAGCTTGCAGTGAGCCAAGATGGCGCCACTGCACTCCAGCCTGGGTGACAGGAGACCCATTTCAGAAAACAACAACAACAACAACAACAAAAATTAGCCGGGCACGGTGGCGCGCGCCTGTAATCGCAGCGACTCAGGAGGCTGAGGTAGGAGAATCGCTTAAACCTGAGAGGCAGATGTTGCAGTGAGCTGAGATTGCGCCACTGCACTCCAGCCTGGGAGACAGAGTGAGACTCCATCTCAAAAAAAAAAAAAAAAAAAAAAAAATGTCCTACATAGATGAATGGATAAACTGTGGTACATCCAGAGAATTAGATATTATTCAGCGCTAAAAACAAATGAGCTATCAAGCCATGAAAAAACATTCAAGAACACTAAATGCATATTACTAAGCAAAAGAAGCCAATGTGAAAAGGCCATATACTGTATGATTCCATACACATGACATTCTGGAAAAGCAAAACTATGGAGACAGTAAAAGGCTCAGTGGTTGGCAGGGGTTGGGGGAGGGAGGGATGAACTGGCAGAGCACAGGGGACTTTCAGGGCCACGAAACTACTCTCTATGACATGACAATGGTGGATACGGCATTACGCATTTGTCCAAACCCACAGAATGTACAACACCAGGAATGAGCTGTAATGTGAACTATGGAACTCCTTGTGCACATTGGCGCATCAGTTGTAACAGAAGTATCACGCTATAATGCAAAATGTTACTAATAGGGAAATGAGTGTAGGGGTGTGAGAGAGAGGATGTATGGGGATTCTGTTCTTTGGGCTCAATTCTTCTGTAAACCTATAACCGCTCCTCCCAGAAAAGTCTACTAATTAATTTTTTTTTTTTTCTCTTAAAGACAGAGTCTTGCTCTGTGTCCCAGCTGGAGTGCAGTGGTGCGATCTTGTCTCACTGAATCAAGAGCTTCTCCTGCCTCAGCCTCCCAAGTAGCTAGGATTACAGACATGCACCACCATGCCTGGCTAATTTTTGTATTTTTAGTAGAGACGGGGTTTCACCGTGTTGGTCAGGCTGGTCTTGAACTCCTGACTTGAGGTGATCTGTCCACCTCGGCCTCCCAAAATGCTAGGATTACAGGCATGAGCCACTGTGCCTGAACTCTACTAATTTTTTAAAATACACTGGCATAATGACAAGTCACTGGCTGTACACACACAAACAGAATAGCATGGATTATGATCCCAGTCTTAAAAAATCTTCCTGGGCGAGGTGGCTCACGCCTGTAATCCCAGCACTTTGGGAGGCTGAGGCGGGCGGATCACAAGGTCAGGAGATTGAGACCATCCTGGCTAACACAGCAAAACCCTCTCTCTA